CACACACACACACACACATTTCTGCTTAGATAGTACTTACTATCATTTATCAAATAACAATTTCAAGAAACGTAAGGAATATTAGATTTGAAAAGCAGTAGTATTAATGCTTCCATTAACCAAAATACTGATATTGTTCAGTAGGCTTTCATTACAACAACAACAACCAAGTAGGATTCCACTAGTGGGGTCTGGGGAGGGTAGAGTATACGCAGACCTTACTCTTAGCCCAGAAGGGTAGAGTGTTGAGTTGTGTCCCACATCGGTGGGTTATGGGTATTTTGGTCTTCTTATAGGTTTTGGGCAATCCTCACCTCATAAGCTAGCTTTTGGGGTTGAGTTAGGCCCAAGGTCCATTCTTATCATGGTATCAGAGTCGGACCCATCCCAATTTATTGTTACCGATGTTGGGCCCCCATTTATATTGTCCATGCTCCAGTTGCAGGCTTGGGCGTGAGGGGGGTGTTGAGCTGTGTCCCACATCGGTGGGTTATGGGTATCTTGGTCTTCTTATATGGTCTTGGGCAATCCTCACCTCATAAGCTAGCTTTTGGGGGGTGTTGAGTTGTGTCCCACATCGGTGGGTTATGAGTATCTTGGTCTTCTTATATGGTCTTGGGCAATCCACACCTCATAAGCTAACTTTTGGGGTTGAGAGACCCTCGGTTCAAGAGAAGAGACAATCATCAGAAAAGAATAAAAGAATTGATATGTAGCAACAAAAGAAACCAAAAAAGGCTTTCATTACAAATTTTTTTTTTTTGGTTGAAGTAATTAATTTTTTGTTTCTTGATTGTGATCAACCTAATTATTAAAGAAGAATAGGGGAAACAAATTTGCCTGTGATTTACAAGGAGCTATAAACACTGCAAACAATTGCACACACTGGTCCTTCAAATAAAAAAAATGCAGAAATACAATATTCTGTTAATTCTAATATATTAGAAGGTGTTCCAACAGTACATCTAGTGATCTCTAACAGTCTCAAGGACTTCAAGAGCAAAGAAATAATGTATAGGGTACAGAGGGGTCGAAGTTCATAATTAAACAACTGAAAATTAATAATCAACTGTTGAAAATAATAATAATTATCAACTAGTTACCTAATAGTAGAAAGAAAGGTGAGTTAGAGATAATTTCCGTTTAATTAAAGTAGCTTTTGGATAGCTTAACGACTTAAAACACCCATTCCTATACATCCATTTTGGATATAAGAAAAAACATTTTGTGTTGGTGAGATCCTTAAAGCTTGGTACAACATTTAAAGCATGCAGTACAGAAATTATTAAAAACATTTGCGTTTTCTCTCTCTCTTCAACGTGTATCATGCTACAAAAAAATTTGGTTGACTATATCATCAATTATGAAGGTGATGTTAGCAAAAAAGTTGAAAATATACCCACGAGGCAACCATAATAGTTGAACAAAAATGTATCAGCCATGACATGACCATATACTATTATTAAACATTAAAAAAAAACTTAAATTAGCTACGAATATCGTCGCTAATTGTCACTGAATCACTCGTAGCTAACATAATTTTTTGATAATCTTTTACTTAATGAGATTAGGAACGGATTTTTCTATTTAAATACAACTTGTATTTTGCATTTTTTTAAATCAGTGAAAGGATATATATATATATATATATATATATATATATATATATATATATATATATTACTACTCTATAACAAGAAAAACTCATAAATATGAGCCACCAGAAGTAGTGTTATCAGAGTACGTATCATATATACCAAAGCAAACTATGCTTTGCAAGTATCTAATGTAATAGAAATTGATTAAATAGTGATAATATTATAGGCCTTTTTCCTTTTATGATGAACATTGTAAAGGAAAAGTGTATTCTTACTCCGTGTTTGTTTTAAATTATGTTAACCTATTAATTAAACATAGTCAGTTATAAAAGTTTATTTAAAAAGGACCGTCACGTCAACAATGGACAAATGAGCTTTTCCTCGTGAAGTTAGCTAACATTGTCAATTTTCATTCCACAAAAGAAAAAGAAAAAAGTATTCTGAAGGAAAAGAAATCAATGTTATTTCTCTTATCGGCAATTATATATAAAAAAAAAGTAAAAAAAAATTCTACATTTCACTTGGTTTATTTGAAAGGCATTGATACATCTACAAATTGGGAATATGACTTTGTTTCCATTTAATAAAGATAAAAGAGAAGCATATATCATATGCCAATTCATCATCCACTAAGGATGCACGATTGCGTAATTATTTATCATTTGACAATCTCAAGCAGTGCCAATCTGATGTGTATCTCATATTTGGTCTACGTACAAAAAAAAAAATTGTTAAAAATTTGCTAAAATTAGAAATCGAAGTTTTACTAAAAATTAAAGTGGGGATGTGTATTTATGCTTAATAGGGTTAGCAGCATGTACTGCTTGAGATAATAACCTGTATAATTATTATTTGGAACCAGAAAACTAGTGACTTAGCTTGTGGTTTAAACTGTAATTTAC